GCACAGGGGGCGCAACTTTGGTTTTAGAAACAGCCTACCCGACCGCTTGGAGGCGTCCGCGTGTTCGTTTTGTATCACATTCCAGTGAGAACTGGGGGGGGGGACAAAAATGCCATTTCAGAATGTGGTGGGGACATGTTCTCATCCCCAGTGAAAGTTGTGCCCCTGCCAGATACGGACTGGTTTTCAGTCAGATCCAGGCAGTATCTGTGACCAACAGATGCACATCTGTATTCCCAGTCATGTGAAATCCATAGATTAGGGCAGTGGCAATTTTAGCATGTAAATCTTACATTTTAGTAGACACTCTTATCCAGAGCAATTAGGGTTAAGTGCCTTGCTCAAGGGCACATCAACATAGTTGGCTTGGGGATTAGAACCAGCGACCTTTCGGTTACTGGCACAACGCTCTTAACCACTAAGCTACCTGCCGCCCAAATAATAATAATAATATAATAATATGCCATTTAGCAGACGCTTTTATCCAAAGCGACTTACAGTCATGCGTGCATACATTTTTGTGTATGGGTGGTCCCGGGGATCGAACCCACTATCTTGGCGTTACAAGAGCCGTGCTCTACCAGCTGAGCTACAGAGGACCACCCAAACCTGCCGTGGGGCAAACTAAAACTAAAATGTGGGAGGCATGCCAGCAGAGCCACCACAACACAACACTAAACAATGCATTAACTGCACTATAACGTGACAAACGGTGCCCACAAACTGTTAGGGCCTACATAAAGCTGTCCGAACAGCAGAGTCCCAACAGCAGTCCCAACACCTTACCACTGCTACACCTGGCTATCAGCGGAGCCTTGTCTGGCAGCGAAAAAGTTAATTCAGCCTCATTTACTGCCTTTAAAAAAACATAGCTGATATGGCTGACTTGGTTAAACAAATGTGGTTTCGAATGACAATTGAGATGTACAAACTATGGCATAAGGGGACGACAAGCGGATAAGAGGCAATCCGTAATTTCTATGAAGACATTAATGAGCGAGCTAGGACGGACGTAGTCAATATAACTATTTGTTCAGCACTTTTGAAATGTACAGCGACAGAATTCAGAACATGGGCCGTTCTTACAGTATTCTCCCTGTACACCAAGTCAGAACCGTAGGATAAATAAAGGGGGCATATAAGCAGACAATGAAAGATCTTACAATATTCGATGATTACATTTCTCTAAAACAGGTTATAGGCTACATGTGCACCACCAAGTCAGAACAGCAGGCGAAATTAAGAGGCGAAAATAGACCAAATTATTAGGGTGAGGCACATGGGCTTAATACACAACATACACTTAGTATTACTTTCTTAGCTACAGTATACATATCTCCCTGGCATATTACATCATTTATGCAGCAGCATACAATACATTTTTGGACTCACCTTGTTGTGCTGTGCTCACTTGACCAGGAAGGTGGCGCGACGGTCCTTCGTGGGCAGATTTTGTCATCAAAGTCTGGCATTCTCTGGATTTATGGTGCTTTCAAGACAACTGGGAACTCTGAAAAAAACAAGGTCGAATCATGATGACGTCATTGATCTTCAGGTCGTAGCTCTAGAAAGAGGCCAGAGTATCGGATTTACAATTCCGAGTTGGATGACCGTTCAAAATGTATTTTCCCAGTCGGAGCTCGTTTTTTCACGAGTTCCCAGTTGTCTTGAACTCACCGAAGTCAAGTTTTTGCTGTTCCGAGTTAACAGTTGTTTTGAGCGCGACACAAATCATGCTTCATTGACAGCATGGCCAATGTTGAATGTTTATCATTTTAAACTTGAAAAAGAGACCCGTAATCCCAGATTTGGGACCACACAGCCACTCCACTGAATAGCAGGCTGGTGATTGCTTTGCAATGCTTGCAGTTAGCCACTGATTCCTTCCATTGTTGAATTTGCGATTTCCAACTTGTTGTGTAATGTTTATGTCCAATGGCCGATGAGCACCAATACGTTTTATCTATAATTTCTCTTCATTATTTCTCTTCATATGACAAGGATTAAAAAGGATTTGCCAGTAGATTATCGACTTGATTCATGATGATGACTGCTAGCTAAGATTAGCTAAGATTTTGAAAGTATGATGTTGACATGATCAGCCCAATCAAAGCTACTGTAGATATAACGTGATTTGACGTCATTTTATCTGTGGCCAATGACCTTGAGCCTTCTTGGATGGGTACTTCTACTATGGCAGCACCCAAGGGGCTTGAATTTTCGAGCTCTACCCTTAGACTTGGCAGTGACATATGGTCCCCACCAGTGACAGAACAATGAGCTAATCATTGGCGCAACTAGAGAACATTACCAACACCTACGGTCTGTATTTTTTCCGCTGTCTTTCCCACCACCACAGAAAGCACTGAGCTAGGCTGAAACACCTGCATTTATGTATTATTGTTATTCATTTTTTAGCTTAAAATGTGGCTCTGCCCCACCTGCCCTGAATGACGGTCGCCACTGGATTAGGGCCTAATTTATTTATTTCAATTGACTGATTTCCTTATATGAACTGTAACTCAGTAGAATCTTTGAAATATTTACATGTTGCGTTTATATTTTTGTTCAGTGTAGTTAGTCTATTGTCTGTCATTATTTTATACCTGCTGCAGAAATGCCGCGCTCTCTCCTCGGGCAACGGCCCACTCGCACTGGTACACATCAAATCAAATCAAATCAAATTGTATTGGCCACATGCGCCGAATACAACAGGTGCAGACATTACAGTGAAATGCTTACTTACAGCCCATAACCAACAGTGCATTTAATTTTAATAAAAAAGTAAAATAAAACAACAACAAAAAAGTGTTGAGAAAAAAAGAGCAGAAGTAAAATAAAATAACAGTAGGGAGGCTATCTATACAGGTGGGTACTAGTTGCAGCACACACAGCCACGCAATGAAGGGTCATTCCGATAATGGCCGATTTTTAAGTGATTGATCATATTTCCATGACTTTTCATGACCCTACAAACCCTAATTTGACACTTTGAACAGCGCATCATGCCATTCAGGCTGGCGCATTTTCAATCTGCACAATCTGGTACAGCCTACTGTCACGCACAGCTTCACAGACTAGCAGCAAATACATTTGAACAAAGCGGAATCAGGAAATGAATGGCCAAATCCATTGCTTTTCAATGCAGATCCCGCCTTCATTCTGCTTTGAACAACGTTTTTTGCCGCGGTGTATGAATCTGCGCCGGCGACAGGCTTCTTTTGTTTTATAGAGGAGCTGGTTTGCATTTTCCCAAAAAATTTAACGTACCGGTACGGAGCTCGAGTCTGCACACCTCGCGCTCAAGTCAAGCACTCTCATACAGTATCTCTCACTGCATTCCCATCATTGCAGGACAACCGTGTGTGGGTGTGGCTGTGGGCTGTCTCACTGGACAAAGTATTCTTCTTCTCCTTCTTCAGTGTTTGAATGAAAGTAGTGATATTTAAAAGGAAAGGATGAACGAATCAAGCACATAAGAGCCGCTGAAACAAGCACCACTGAAGCCACTGTAAAGGTGGTGTGACATTCTGAGGCATGCTGTGGAATGCATCATATAGGTGTGGGATGCACTTGGCATAGCTGGAGCTGAGAGAGGGTTGGAATGACTGCAGCCTACCTACTATCTAAGCCTTCTGTAGCTCAGTTGGTAGAGCATGGCGCTTGCAACGCCAGGGTTGTGGGTTCGATTCCCATGGGGGGGGCCAGTATGAAAAATGTATGTACTCACTAACTGTAAGTCGCTCTGGATAAGAGCATCTGCTAAATGACTAAAAATAGGAAATCTAATGGCTGAAGATAGTCCCATCATGCTGACAGAGTTACAATGGGGTGTTTCTGTCACTGATGTTCCAAATCAACCTTTTGGTTCTTATAATAGGTTTTTTGTATAGGCTACTGGTATTGTCAGTAATGCATTCAATTTCTAGAGTGCCAATTCAATCCAATCAAACATATAAACTATTTGTATAAACCTGCATAATAGATGATTATTGATCAAAATGTATTATTGAGTTGTGACTAAAGTAGGCCTACACTTTCTCCATCCAATATTTTACCTTTTGAGGGGGGGGGGGGGGAAACGGTGTAATAACCAAGAACGGTACCGTAGTCCTAGACATGAAAACCAGACTGTGTCTTGTTTTGTATGCTTTGTACAAAATAATAAAATGCAGGACGACAGGATATTTATAAACGTAGCTCTTTATTAACTAGCTATAACTTGCATGTCCATGTGTCTCTGGCCATGATCATCTTTAGAATGACCTCACCACCTGGGTGGTCTTAACCAATCATAGCACAGTATGATATGACAGTATAATGAATCCAATTACAATTCAGTATGCTGACACATATGAGGGGGAGAGGGGGGGGGGACGGTGTAATAACCAAGAACGGTACCGTAGTCCTAGACATGAAAACCAGACTGTAGTACATGATTATGTAAATTATGAAAATATTCTATAACAAGTTCTTACAACAACGTGAACAGGAGATAAAAGGCCAACCAATGACATGTCGCGAGAAAGGTGGTGTCAAACCCAGCTTGTCCAATTACAGTCTCGCAAATATCTTCTCCAAAACCGGAGCACCTGGTGAGGAAAACGGCATCAGCAACACTGTGGAAGTCAGATCATCACAGTGACCGATATTATTTTGAATTCAGTGCCGTATACCACCATTAAGAAACTTGATTCTGTCATCTTTGTTCGCATCAATCTACAGAAGTCACCTTCATAAGGTACGTTTGATTTTTTATTTAATAGAATACGGGGGACTTTTCATCCAACATTAGCTAGCTAACGTACACGATGTCGCGATGCCAGTGTTCAGCATCATCCAGCAACAGACAGGGTTTGTCATCATCCGGCAACGTTAACCACGATTTCGAGTGACATTAGCTAAACATGTCAGTTTCTGCAGAAACAATACATTTAATTCACATTCATGTCACTACTGTGTATGCCTGTTGTGTTGTCACATATTTTGAAGGTAACAAAATGTCTGCATTCGTTGCCAGTTCATTCAACAACAAAATCACGGTGAGGATGACTGACACGACGGTAGAGGGTCCGGGGAGACACAGGAACCGTGATGTGCTCGCAGAATCGGCGACAAGAAGGGATGATGTGTTTGATGAAACGTACAAAGAGAAAGAAGGTCCCAAACCTCCAATGAAAATCGTGTGGAAAAATATCACATTGATGACTTTATTGCACATTGCAGCCGTGTACGGCATCTCCCTCGTCCCATCTGCTCATGTTTTGACCTGGGCTTGGTGTAAGTATGATATACCTAACCCACTTGTTATTTCAAATGAACTCGGTTTGACATTGAAATTGTTTTTATGGCGTAGTTAATTTGCACATCGGATTGGTCGCACAGCACAGCTGGATTCGCCAGGCTTCAGTGCTGCGTAGCGCAAGCTGCCTGACTCTTTCTTTCTCCCCTGCTGGTGAATACGGATGGTTTTCATTTCTCTGCAACTGTAATACTGTTAATAACCAGACCATGTAGAACGTTCTAGAAACAATGGTTATTATGCATTCATGAAAAAGTCCTAACCAAATCTGATTATTTTATCCCGGAGATGAGCCCCAAATGAATGATTCTATGGAAAAGAGACATTATAGTAGGTGACCCTACTAATCTATTATTATTCACTATCACTAGTTTATACCCTGTTATGGAATAACATACCTTTTTACTTGATTAGATGGCAAACATATGAATGAATGTTTTAGGAAAAACAAAGAGTACAGGATCCATTCTTGATCTCTGCCACCTGATGCTCTGCATGTTCATGGAACATGCATGAGGAGCAGTTGTCGTCATCTGGCCATTAAATAGATGTTGTTCCTCTATCCCCCTCTATCCCCCTCTCTCTCTCTCTCTCTCTCTCTCTCTCTCTCTCTCTCTCTCTCTCTCTCTCTCTCTCTCTCTCTCTCTCTCTCTCTCTCTCTCTCTCTCTCTCTCCACACAGCTGTGTTTTGCTTTTTAATAAGCGCTTTAGGAGTGACTGCTGGGGCTCACCGGCTATGGAGCCACAGGTCCTACAAGGCCTCGTTACCTCTCAGAATCTTTCTCGCCACTGCCAACTCCATGGCCTTTCAGGTAAAACATGTCTTTCCCACTTCACTTTTATTTAACCGGGTTAAACATCAGATGGCAGATAGTATCGGTATACACACAAAACGTCTTCGTTTGATATGATGAACAAACTTTCCCCAAAGTATCATTCTGTTAGCCTGGTCAAGCAGACGGCTGCATGCGCTCAGAATGTGAGCTATCGCGAGATCAGGCTGTAATGTAGAATGTTCATTCAAATTATGCTAACTTACAGTGAGGGGAAAAAAGTATTTGATCCCCTGCTGATTTTGTATGTTTGCCCACTGACAAAGAAATGATCAGTCTATACTTTTAATGGTAGGTTTATTTGAACAGTGAGAGACAGAATAACAACAAAAAAATCCAGAAAAACGCATATCAAAAATTTTATAAATTAATTTGCATTTTAATGAGGGAAATAAGTATTTGACCCCCTCTCAATCAGAAAGATTTCTGGCTCCCAGGTGTCTTTTATACAGGTAACGAGCTGAGATTAGGAGCACACTCTTAAAGGGAGTGCTCCTAATCTCAGCTTGTTACCTGTATAAAAGACACCTGTCCACAGAAGCAATCAATCAATCAGATTCCAAACTCTCCACCATGGCCAAGACCAAAGAGCTCTCCAAGGATGTCAGAGACAAGATTGTAGATCTACACAAGGCTGGAATGGGCTACAAGACCATCGCCAAGCAGCTTGGTGAGAAGGTGAAAACAGTTGGTGTGATTATTCGCAAATGGAAGAAACACAAAAGAACTGTCAATCTCCCTCGGCCTGGGGCTCCATGCAAGATCTCACCTCGTGGAGTTGCAATGATCATGAGAACGGCAAGGAATCATCCCAGAACTACATGGGAGGATCTCAAGGCAGCTGGGACCATAGTCACCAAGAAAACAATTGGTAGCACACTACGCCGTGAAGGACTGAAATCCTGCAGTGCCCGCAAGGTCCCCCTGCTCAAAAAAGCACATATACATGCCCGTCTGAAGTTTGCCAATGAACATCTGAATGATTCAGAGAACTGGGTGAAAGTGTTGTGGTCAGATGAGACCAAAATGGAGCTCTTTGGCATCAACTCAACTCGCCGTGTTTGGAGGAGGAGGAATGCTGCCTATGACCCCAAGAACACCATCCCCACCGTCAAACATGGAGGTGGAAACATTATGCTTTGGGGGTGTTTTTCTGCTAAGGGGACAGGGCAACTTCACCGCATCAAAGGGACGATGGACAGGGCCATGTACCGTCAAATCTTGGGTGAGAACCTCCTTCCCTAAGCCAGGGCATTGAAAATGGGTCGTGGATGGGTATTCCAGCATGACAATGACCCAAAACACATGGCCAAGGCAACAAAGGAGTGGCTCAAGAAGAAGCACATGAAGGTCCTGGAGTGGCCTAGCCAGTCTCCAGTCCTTAATCCCATAGAAAATCTGTGGAGGGAGCTGAAGGTTCGAGTTGCCAAACGTCAGCCTCAAAACCTTAATGACTTGGAGTAGATCTGCAAAGAGGAGTGGAACAAAATCCCTCCTGAGATGTGTGCAAACCTGGTGGCCAACTACAAGAAACATCTGACCTCTGTGATTGCCAACAAGGGTTTTGCCACCACGTAGTAAGTCATGTTTTGCAGAGGGGTCAAATACTTATTTCCTGGCATGCGTCTAGTTAGAAGATAACAAAGTTTATGCCAACATAATAATTCCATGCAGAAGCGTTTGAAAATAAACAAATTCATTGGACTAGCGCCGTTGCTGATTCTACAGGATTAGTGAGTAAAAATGACTGGAAGGGAATGTTAGCAGTACTGAAAGTTCGCCATGAAAAAGTGGAAAATAAACAAAATCGTAGTTAATTTCAGCTAACTACTCAGTAAACACATAGAATAACTGTTGTACTGTCATTCTGGTCATTTCAACGTTTTCCAAATGATCTACATCCACTTTATTAGTTGGCGTTCCGACCGCTGGTCACGTTTTCAATGCTAATCCTGTAGAATCAGCAACGGCGTTGGTCCAATCAATTTGTTTCTTTTCGAATGCTCCGCATGGAATTATTCCGCTGTCTTGACCTGTATATTAACGACCTAGGCATGGGTACACTCAAAATGGCTGTATATTAACGACCTAGGCATGGGTACACTCAAAATGGCTGTATATTAACGACCTAGGCATGGGTACACTCAAAATGGCTGTATATTAACGACCTAGGCATGGGTACACTCAAAATGGCTGTATATTAACGACCTAGGCATGGGTACACTCAAAATGGCTGCCAGTCCACCCATTATGCCATCATTGACTTGAATGGGGAGGCCCATTCTATGGATTCTATTTCTGTGTATAAATCTTAGTCTTTGTGTCCCCATTACAGAATGACATCTTTGAATGGGCTCGGGACCACAGAGTTCACCACAAGTTTTCAGAGACCGATGCCGACCCCCACAACGCCATCCGAGGGTTCTTCTTCTCCCACATCGGTTGGCTCCTGGTGCGTAAACACCCAGACGTCATTGAGAAAGGGAAGAAGCTGGAGCTCAGTGACTTGAAGGCCGACAAAGTTGTCATGTTCCAGAGGAAGTATGTATTCCTTCCCGATGATCAATTCATACAGTATTGGTTGCATTTTCTCTTCCATAAATGTTTCTGTTCACTCCATAATCTGTGATGGCACTAAACCTAGCTTAGTCATTGTTAGATCATCAATATGGCTCAGAAGGTTTGAGAAGCTTCTTAACAATGGTAATTCCTAGTTTTTTAATGAAGATCAGGAACATCCATAACCTCATGGCATGTTATGTATTTGTAACTGAATAATGTGATAATCTGTCAAAGAAGAGCCTGCCAGCCGAGACCGTGTTGCTGTGTTGGGAGCTGTACAGATGGGTCTCTTAAACTGACAGTTTGAATAGACCTTTATCTTCTGTGCTGCCTCCATATAATGGGTATTTCAACATATCATGGAGGATATGTCTGTTCTCTTGTCTTCTCCACAGGTATGTCAACATGTCATGGAGGATATGTCTGTTCTCTTGTCTTCTCCACAGGTATGTCAACATATCATGGAGGATATGTCTGTTCTCTTGTCTTCTCCACAGGTATGTCAACATGTCATGGAGGATATGTCTGTTCTCTTGTCTTCTCCACAGGTATTACAACATGTCATGGAGGATATGTCTGTTCTCTTGTCTTCTCCACAGGTATGTCAACATGTCATGGAGGATATGTCTGTTCTCTTGTCTTCTCCACAGGTATTACAACATGTCATGGAGGATATGTCTGTTCTCTTGTCTTCTCCACAGGTATTACAACATATCATGGAGGATATGTCTGTTCTCTTGTCTTCTCCACAGGTATTACAACATGTCATGGAGGATATGTCTGTTCTCTTGTCTTCTCCACAGGTATTTCAACATGTCATGGAGGATATGTCTGTTCTCTTGTCTTCTCCACAGGTATGTCAACATATCATGGAGGATATGTCTGTTATCTTGTCTTCTCCACAGGTATTACAACATGTCATGGAGGATATGTCTGTTCTCTTGTCTTCTCCACAGGTATTACAACATGTCATGGAGGATATGTCTGTTCTCTTGTCTTCTCCACAGGTATTACAACATATCATGGAGGATATGTCTGTTCTCTTGTCTTCTCCACAGGTATTATAACATATCATGGAGGATATGTCTGTTCTCTTGTCTTCTCCACAGGTATTACAACATGTCATGGAGGATATGTCTGTTCTCTTGTCTTCTCCACAGGTATGTCAACATGTCATGGAGGATATGTCTGTTCTCTTGTCTTCTCCACAGGTATTACAACATATCATGGAGGATATGTCTGTTCTCTTGTCTTCTCCACAGGTATTACAACATATCATGGAGGATATGTCTGTTCTCTTGTCTTCTCCACAGGTATTACAACATATCATGGAGGATATGTCTGTTCTCTTGTCTTCTCCACAGGTATTATAACATATCATGGAGGATATGTCTGTTCTCTTGTCTTCTCCACAGGTATTACATGTCATGGAGGATATGTCTGTTCTCTTGTCTTCTCCACAGGTATTACAACATATCATGGAGGATATGTCTGTTCTCTTGTCTTCTCCACAGGTATTATAACATATCATGGAGGATATGTCTGTTCTCTTGTCTTCTCCACAGGTATTACATGTCATGGAGGATATGTCTGTTCTCTTGTCTTCTCCACAGGTATTACAACATATCATGGAGGATATGTCTGTTCTCTTGTCTTCTCCACAGGTATGTCAACATGTCATGGAGGATATGTCTGTTCTCTTGTCTTCTCCACAGGTATGTCAACATGTCATGGAGGATATGTCTGTTCTCTTGTCTTCTCCACAGGTATGTCAACATGTCATGGAGGATATGTCTGTTCTCTTGTCTTCTCCACAGGTATTACAACATGTCATGGAGGATATGTCTCTGTACTATTGTTTTTTTTTTTATCCACAGGTATTACAAGATGTCAGTGCTGCTGATGTGTTTCGCAGTCCCCATGTTTGTTCCTTGGTGCCTGTGGGGAGAGAGCCTGTGGCTGGGCTACTTTGTGCCAGGCCTGCTGAGGTACACCCTGGTACTGAACGCTACCTGGCTGGTCAACAGTGCTGCCCACATGTGGGGCAACCGGCCCTACGACGCCAACATCAACCCCAGAGAGAACAAGTTTGTCACCCTTAGTGCCATAGGTATGTTACCTACCTCTTGCCATTTTAAAAGATCTTAAAACGTCATTAAGTTGCCCCCTTTTTATAACATTTAATTATATCGTAAAATGACTCTATACTCCACAGTTATCGCAGAACAGTAGCATTACATAACAAGCTTTGCCTTCTGTGCTTGTAATTACCTTCCTGAGTGATGCTGCACATGTTTAATATGTTTTACATGGTGTCCGTTTGCTTTGATTGCACCTGTTTGGGGGAAGAGATCAAAGGGGATTGGTTATGCAATCATTGTAGAGAAGAGCAAGTTCATGCGGACCATGAATTTTAGGTTTCAGTTCCCAACTCTGTGCTCGACAGAAAATAATATGTGTATAGTAGCTCTTCTCAAACCATGTGTGGGCGTTCACATCTTACAAGATATCTTGAATATATTTATTATGTGTAAATGATGGTCACCCGTTACCCTAACGACGGTTTCCTGTCACTTTCAGGCGAAGGGTTCCATAACTATCACCACACCTTCCCTTATGATTACGCAACAAGTGAGTTTGGCTGTAAGCTGAACCTGACCACCTGTTTCATCGACTTGATGTGTTTCCTCGGCCTGGCAAAGGACTGCAAGAGAGTGTCCCCTGAAATAGTCCTGGCCCGGGCCCAGCGCACTGGGGATGGAAGCACCCGCAACCGGAGTGGCTAGGAGGTTTTCCCCCAAATCTCAAAAAAGCTCCAAAACAAAACCAATGTAAAAAAAAAAATATATATATAAAACCGACAAAAGTTTAGTTTGCAGTGTAATTTTGAGAGGCACTTCTCTATCTTGTAGCTACAATCACGGCGTCACTCTTCTCCCCTTTTGTGAGCTATACATTTCCTAAAGAGTTCTTAAAGATGAATGTTAGCTTTTGAAAAAGGGACTTTGATCACCTTGTTATGTTTTTACTGTTTCATTTCATCTTCGCTGCAGCCACTAGTCTGTTGTGTGAAATGGTCCAAATATGTCTGTTGCCAAAGCTGAATGCTGCCATTGGTCAAGTCTCCCTCAGTAGGCCGGATGAGGTATTCCTGAGCTGCGAATGCTTTTTTTCTGCTGCAGTGGTACATTTTGATGTTGCATAGGCAATCAATCAATAGTTTCTTAAACTGCAGTCAAAGTATTAAAGGAGAGATTTGAAAAATACGGAAGCTGAAATGACATTTTAAACTGTTGTTGTGACACCTTTTTAAATCTCCATCTTGAAGTGAAGCTGTCAGTTTTGTCTGTAGATTTCATGTAATGTGGGTCATGTGACCAAAACAGATACTTTTCTATTTTTAAAGTAACTGTCCAGTGAAAATCAAACTTTTAAAAGTTCATATTCTGTTAACTCATACCCAAATAATCTTGCGAACTCGTCCTATACTCGTATTTGTGGCCAAAGCATAAATTGGAGAAAAAAAAACACTTCAAACAAAAATGCTTGCTCATAGATTATGATGTGCTGGCCAATCAGTGGTCTACTTGCATTAATATTTTTAATGACTGGTAAACGCCCACACCATTCCAACACAGAAAAGCTGCTTTTTAACATACTTAATTACAATTTTTTGGAAGGAAAACTATTTCACTCATATTGTAATTAATTATAAGTCATATTTCATAAAAATCTGGAAACAGTGGACAATTACTTTCATGATCACTGGATATTAATAAGGAATAGAGTCCTGAAATGTGGAAAACCATGTTCCATTTCATAGAGTATATGTATTAGGTTTCAGCTGACTTGGTTCTTATTCAACATTGTTACAGTTTACAGCAAATTGTTTAAAGTATACAGAAGGACTGTTACTTTATTGAGAGGAATTGCAGGGGAACTGAATAAAGCACAGATATGACAGTACTGTCACAAACTGTTAAAAGAGATTAAATATTTTATACATTTTAGAAAAACCAAATTGAGAATACATGCTCCTCCTCCCCAAAATGCCTTCATTTTCAACCAGGTTATAATAATTGTTACTTTTGGAAAATATAATAATAAATATGTTTAAATGTGCTAATGTTTCTTAAAAAAAAGCAGGGCCGGCTAACCGCATTTGGGGCCCTGGGCAAGAATATTTTGGAGGGCCCCCCCCCCTCATGGCGGTGGAGCAAAAAAAATTTTTTAAAGCTAACTTCCTGCAATTCTACACATTTTGCCATGGGGCAGAGAGGAAAAATGTGCCGTCTTAAAGCTCATTTCCCAGTTGGTAATCCGGCCATGAATAGAGGCATATCCAGCCTCACATCAGTTAGGCCTATTTTCTCCAAATGGAAGCATTTCCCCTGTGAATCAGTTCTCTGCCCTATGCCTTGGGCATTATACCGTAGGCTGTGTGCACCTTCTCAAGATATTTGTAGTCTACAGCCCTTTTTAATTGAATTGACAAAAAGACAACTCAATAAAAATGATTAGTTGATTAAAGTAAACTAGTAAAAGGTCCATGTAAATGTAGTTGTTAGGATTATGGCCATGAAATGTACTTCTGAATCCCGTCTACCCTTGAAGAGGAACCTGCAGTATCATAATATTTTACTTATTTCTAACATGGTTAAATAAGGAGTTAATACCAAATTCAGTTTCAAACATTCGCCAACTACCATATATTGTATTTCATCTCTGCCATAGCATGACAATGTGAGTAGATTTTTCTCGTAATATTTGATGATAAATCTATCTAAAGTTAACTGCCAAAAATAATTACACTTGAGTAAATGAGGGATACAAAGTGTTATTGAAAGCAGGTGCTTCCACACAGGTGTGGTTCCTGAGTTTAATTAAGCAATTAACATCCCATTATGCTTAGGGTCAAATGCTGGGCAGGTCATTATTTTGGCTACCATGGCTATGCCCCCATAGGATGACAATGCCACCCATCCCCAGGGCACGAGTGGTCACTGAATGGTTTGCTGAGCATGAAAACGATGTAAACCATAAGCCACGGCCGTCTCAGTCACCAGACCTCAACCCAATTGAACGCTTATGGTAGATTCTGGAGCGGCACCGAGACAGCGTATTACACCTCGCCAACAAAACACCAAATGATGGATTTTTCTCCAGGAATAATGGTGTCACATCCCTCCAACAGAGTTCCAGACACTTGTAGAATCTATACCAAGGGGAAGCCGTTCTGGCTCGTGGTGGCCCTACGCCCTATTAAGACTATGTAGAATCTATACCAAGGGGAAGCTGTTCTGGCTCGTGGTGGCCCTACTCCCTATTAAGACTATGTAGAATCTATACCAAGGGGAAGCTGTTCTGGCTCGTGGTGGCCCTACGCCCTATTAAGACTATGTAGAATCTATACCAAGGGGAAGCTGTTCTGGCTCGTGGTGGCCCTACGCCCTATTAAGACTATGTAGAATCTATACCAAGGGGAAGCTGTTCTGGCTCGTGGTGGCCCTACTCCCTATTAAGACTATGTTGGTGTTACTTTTATTTTGGCAGTTACCTCTATGTACCCATAATGTGCCATTGATTGGACATGTCTAGTGCAGCCATACCATAGAGCCATTATTAGCCCGTTGTAGCTGGATAATGCTGTTTAGCAAGCTACTTAGATCATAAGATTGTACAAGATTTTAAAACATTGAACATTTTAGACATTTAGCGGACGCTCTCATCCAGAGCAACTTACAGGAGCAATTAGGGTTAAGTGCCTTGCTCAAGGGCACACCGACAGATTTTTCACCTAGTCAGCTCTGGGATTTGAACCAGTGACCTTTCGGTTACTGGGCCAACGCTTAAAAGTGTGGTCTTTGTCATAACCTAAACAACTGCCCTGATTTCCCTGACACTAGCTAAATTATGTCAAGTTGTTACCTGAGACGGTCGTAAAGCATGCAAAAGATAACATTGACACTGAGGCAATCTTTGTTGATATGTTTTCCTCAGTAAAGTAGTAACACATGCAGTAGACTCGGGTGTTATTTGGTCAATATAAGGTCCAGGGGCCTTGGGATGATCTACAGAGGCTCAGATTGTGATTTAGGAGATTGTTCAATAGGGGAGTTACTTTTTATTCAACTTGAAAGATTCTGTTTGTATGTTAACTTGACAAAATGTTCTGTATGCATTTATTGTCTTTTTTTTGTTGCCATTGTGGTTTTCATTTACTTGAAAAAAATGTCATGAAAAAGTATTGCTTCTAGTACTTTTTTCCTTTGGCAATTGCACAGGACTTCTAAAATGGACAGAATTATTAGGGCACCTTTTTTAAATGATTTTAAAAGTCCAATGCAGCTGTTTTTATAGAAATATCTAGCATTTTCTGGGTAACAATTAAGTACCTTACTGTGATTGTTTTCAATTAAAATGGCCAAAAAATTAACAAAAAATAGCTTTGTAGCAAAGGGCAATTTCTCAAGCAAGAATTTAGCTAGGACTGTCTGGGAGTGGTCTGACTGGGGAGGGGAGGAGGGGGAACTGAAAACTAGCTGTTGTTGGCAGAGGGGTTTGGAACCCTCTTTCTTATTTATATATTAACTAATTTACCGCATGGTGATGTCACCATGCAAGGCCAAAACTCCCTCGCCCAAAACAGGCTGACATTTCAGGCTCTTTTCAAACAGCTCTTACACTAAAAGGGAATTATCATAATTTTCTCAATTTCACAGTATTAGTCCAACCTCCATAGTGTGGAAATATGTAAAACACAGGAATCACATTTTCGACTGCACTGGGCCTTTTAAAAAGAGAATTTGAGCCAGGATACTCTACTACTGCCCAATGCCTTACGACTACTTACATTCATTCCTGATGCTTTTCTGTGTTCACATCCCATTCAGTTTTGTTGTTAAAAAGTGAAAGGCAGAAATGACACGTACCACAATGCAGAGATAAGTGTTTCAGTTCCTTCAGAGAGGAATCCATTGGTTGTTTTACTGCGCTTTAGTAGACAATGGCCTTGTGAGTCCGATAGACATGCCAACCTGTAGGAGGTACAGACACAGGACATGGCATCTGCATGGAACTTTTGAACAAAAAGGTGCTTTAACGTTAGCCTGGTCCCAGTCCCGGATCGGTTTGTGCTGTATATCAAAACAACTGCAGGAGTTGGCTATACAGCACACATTGATCTGGGAACAGGCTACTTTAATGTGAAATGCTAGTGAGAGCTAATCATAGAGTTTACCGAACTCCAAATTATTACAACAAGTCATTCAAATACTTCCCTTGCTGTATTATTCAATGATCCCCAAATTAATATTGTTCATTCTGTCATGTTGAGGGAAGCGAAACCGTTATCATTCTTATGTTCTGGTATATGTAAAATATGAAATATATTCTGAAGTAAAATTCAGATATTTTCAATTAAACGTATAATTAAATGAATTGTTGTTGCTCTACCGTTTGCAGTGCAGTTATTTTTTCCAGTATTCTTGAAATGCCTTAGCAACAGTCTGACACATTTTGCGAGGAATGTTGTAATGCACTGTAAATAGAAGATTTTCTACAGGTGGGAAATATGCTGTGTTGAAGATACTGTATGTTCCTGCATTTAAATGCAACGTTGATTTGAATTAATATATTGTTCAAATGCCCAATCAAATAAAAATACATTGTACCCTTTGTTTAATCTATAAGTGAAGTTGTAAATATGATATAATAATACCAATAATAACAGAACTGATAATAAGCCAAAGCACAGTCAACACTTCAAAGATGAGGGTAAGTGAACTGGGTAGAACTGGGTCGTGTATTCATCAGTGCGCACTGTTTCAAAACCTTTTTTAACGAAAAAGGAAAACACGTTTCTTATTGGACAAGTTAAGGTAGATGATCCCTACCTGTTTCAGCACAACGTTAGGCAACGGTATCTAGGATTTCATAACAAGTCTGTTAGCTATCCCACCAGACTTTTCTCATCGGACCCGGGATTCGATCCGGCAACCCCTTATTATTTTATTAAGGTAATAATAAGGGATGCCGGTTCGAATCCCTGGACAAAGATACAGGTCAGTGTGCTGTCTCAGGTCAGATACAGGTCAGTGTGCTAATCTCGCCCTCGACATCTACAAAACGAAGGAGCTGATCGTGGACTACAGGAGATAGCAGAGAGACCAGGTCATGAGATCAGGAAAAACTCCAGGCCCCAGAAAGACACCTAAGAATTTTGCCACAACACTTTTGAACACGTGGTGCCACCTTTGGCTTGTTCTGATGTCTTAATATCTTGTTCTTTATTTATGTACTTTTGGATGATGTGTTGTTATTTGTATCGCTAGATATTGCTGCACTGTTGGAACTAGATACAGAAGTATTTCGCTGGACCTGCGATAAAATTGTGTACGCGACCAATAAACTTCGATTTGATTTGATTCCACTCAAAACATCATCTGGCTCCATCATGGGGCCCCATAAGGGCTATTCAATTCAAAGGGCTTTATTGTCATGGGAAACATATGTTAACATTGCCAAAGCAAGTGAAGTAGATAATAAATAAAAGGGAAATAAACAATGAACAGTAAACATTACACTCACAAACGTTCCAAAAGAATAGAGACATTTCAAATGTCATATTATGTCTATATACAGTGTTGTAACAATGTGCAAATAGTTAAAGTACAAAAGGAAAAATAAATAATACATAAATATGGGTTGTGTTTACAATGGTGTTTGTTCTTCACTGGTTGCCCTTTTCTTGTGGCAACAGGTCACAGATCTTGCTGCTGTGATGGCACACTGTGGTATTTCACCCAATAGATAATGGAGTTTAATCAAAATTGGATTGGTTTTCGAATTCTTTGTGGGTCTGTGTAATCTGAGGGAGATATGTGTCACTAATAATACATTTGGCAGGAGGTTAGGAAGTGCAGCTCAGTTTCCTCATTTTGTGGGCAGTGTACACATAGCCTGTCTTCTCTTGAGAGCCAGGTCTGCCTACGGCGGCCTTTCTCAATAGCAAGGCTATGCTCACTGAGTCTGTACATAGTCAAAACTTTCCTTAATTTTGGGTCAGTCACAGTGGTCAGGTATTCTGCCACTGTGTACTCTCTGTTTAGGGCCAAATAGCATTCTTGTTTGCTCTGTTTTTTTGTTAATTCTTTCCAATGTGACAAGTAATTATATTTTTGTTTTCTCATGATTTGGTTGAGTCTAATTGTGTTGCTGTCCTGGGGCTCTGTGGGCTCTGTTTGTGTTTGTGAACAGATCCCCAGGACCAGCTTGCTTAGTGGACTCTTCTCCAGGTTCATCTCTCTGTAGGTGATGGCTTTGTTATGGAAGGTTTGGCTCTATCTAGTGGGCAACACCAGCATGACCCCACCACTTCTTCCAGACTTTAAACGTGACGTCATTAGAAAGCGCCGTAAACGGCTATTAGCATTGTTTTTTTTATTTACCCCAAGCTGCGTTCCGCAATGGAAGTAAATAGAGACGAAGCAGAGCGTTGCATTGACATCGCAACTGCTGCATTAACAAACAATCAAGCAGAGAAGGCCGTCAGATTTCTAGAAAAGGCACAGAAACTTTTTCCGACGGATAAGGCGAGAGGTAAAGACCGCCGCTTGAGAAGCGACATGAATGCCAGCTAGCATCCAGGCTATCTTATCTTGGGAAATTGAGGGCCCGCTATAGTTGCAAAAATACGTTACCCATCTCACTGCTAGCTAGCTAATTATCGTCGATTTTTCATATAAAACAGTTAATCTTCCTCAATTTTGCATTGTCACTGTTGTATTTGGAAGTAGTTGAAGTAGACACAGTCCATTGCATTCATTGGATGCTGCTAGGTAAATTAGCTAGCTAGTTAGATACCTAACGTTAGCTATGTAGTCTGTGCATTCAGTTGCACCCAATCTCATATTGCTAGCTAAATACAAACTGTGTAGCTACATAGCTAACGGTCTTTGACGCTATTACTCAGAATAACTCACTCCAGGTGCTTCTGACTGCACAAGAGGGAGATGTCATCAGAGATTTGCTCCGATGAGCCTGCTCAGTGGGGACGTTTCTGGGGGAAACTACTATACTCTAATGTTGCTCTAAATGTTACTCTTATCTGTATTTCCAGCACTGCTGGACTTGATTGCAAAAAATGGTTTCACCCCTGGTCATGGCAACCAGTCACGAAGCAGTGATGGCACTGGACCAAGGCAGCGAAGACCTGGGGAGGAGGACCAAGGAGAGAAAGCCTCCCAGACAGCCAAATCCTACACCTCAGACCAGCTGGACGCTGTCAAGAAGTAGGATGCGTCGATTTTAGTATCACTACAATTATTATCATATAAAATGTAATTGGAAGGAAAAGGATACTTAGTCAGTTGCACAACTGAGTACATTCAACCAAAATGTGTCTTCCGCATTTAACACGGGGAGGCTGCCTTAATTGTTGTTGTTGATAAAAGCGTCTGCTAAATGGCATGTTATATTGAAACTGCTTCAAAGGTTATAAAACATTAACATCAAACATCTGTCTAACTCCCACTCTCCACAATTAATCTTCCCTATCAGAACATTTGCCATGACTTGAAAATATCCTTATGTTCCTGAAACAATTTACTGTTTTCGATGGTTCTGTCTTATAGATGAAATCTTTATTTGCAGAATAAAACAGTGTAAAGACTACTATGAGATTCTTGGAGTGAAAAAAGATGCATCTGAAGATGATCTTAAAAAGTCATATAGAAAATTAGCTTTGAAATTCCATCCCGACAAAAACCATGCACCGGGTGCGACTGAGGCATTTAAAGGTAAACAGAAACCATACATATTTTCTTATGCCTATTTGAACGTGATAACGATTTCTTAAGAGTCAAGGGGCCGGTTTCCCAGACACAGATGTAGCCTAATCCTGGACTAAAAAGCGTGTTCAATGGAGAATGCTTTCTGGTCCAGGATTAGGCTTAATCTGTCTCTGGGAAACCGCTCCAATTAATTGTATATCATTTAATGTCATTTGAAGGTACAAAAAAAGGTGTTTGTTTTCCCCCAGCTATTGGAAATGCTTATGCCTGCCTGAGTAATGCTGACAAGAGGAGACAGTATGACCAGTGTGGTGAGGAGAAGAGACATCCGTCAAGACAGGGCCAGACCAACGGAGACTTCCAGGCTGATATTTCACCAGAGGACCTCTTCAATATGTTCTTCGGAGGGGGTTTTCCAGCAAGTGAGTGACACACACACACACACAGTCATTAGAAACCATTGCATCTACATCTCTTTTACTTCATCAATGTGTATCATTGTACTGCTAAATACTGACAACTCCACTGCTAATGCTCTATCTATTGGTTGTCTGTTTTGCTTCTCAAGGCAACGTTCATGTATACAGAAATGGGCGGAATCAGAGGCCAGCAGGACAGCAGGGACAACAGAGAGAGGTACGCCAGGGATGTTTCTTCATTGCACATTTTGCAGTTCAGGTCATTAAGTAGATCAATTTAGCTACCATGATCTTCAGGGAGTCAGTCAAAACTAATTAATTATCCAATGTGCTGCATGGGCATTTTCTTAATGATTTTCTAATGTACTTTGGCCTGCTGTACAGCAGGGGGAGTCCTTGAGTCGTTTTTGCGCTTAAAACTGAGAATGGCTTACTTGGGGGGGGACTGTATTGTTAACCAACATGACCAGAAGTATGTGGACACCTGCTCATCGAACATCTCATTCCAAAATCATGGACATTAATATGGAGTTGGTCCCCCTTTTGCTGCTAAAACAGCCTCTACTCTTCTGGGAAGGCTTTCCACTAGATGTTGGAACATTGCTGCGGGGAAATGCTTCCATTCAGCCACAAGAGTATTAGTCAGGTTGGGCACTGATGTTGGGTGATTAGGCCTGGCTCGCAGTCGGCGTTCCAATTAATCCCAAAGGTGTTCGCTGGGGTTGAGGTCAGGGCTCTGCAGGCCAGTCAAGTTCTTCCACACCGATCTTGACAAACCATTTCTGTATGGATCTCGCTTTGTGCACAGGGGCATTGTCATGCTGAAACAGGAAAGGGCCTTCCCCAAACTGTTGCCACAAGTCGGAAGCACAGAATCGTCTAGAATGTCATTGTATGCTGTAGCGTTAGGATTTCCCTTCACTTGAACTAAGGGGCCTAGCCCGAACCATGAAAAACAGCCCCAGACCATTATTCCTCCTCCACCAAACTTTACAGTTGGCACTATGCATTGGGGCAGGTAGCGTTATCCTGGCATCTACCAAAACCAGATTAGTCCGTCGGACTGCCAGATGGTGAAGCGTGATTCATTACTCCAGAGAACGCATTTCCACCTCTCCAGAGTCCAATGGCGGCGAGTTTTACACCACTCCTGCTGACGCTTGGCATTGCCCATGGTGATCTTAGGCTTATGTGTTGCTGCTCGGCCATGGAAACCCATTTCATGAAGCTCCCGACGAACAGTTCTTGTGCTGACGTTTCTTCCAGAGGCAGTTTGGAACACGGTAGTGAGTGTTGCAACCGAGGACAGACGATTCATCACCCAGTGGTCCCGTTCTGTGAGCTTGTGTGGTCTACCACTTTGCGGCTGAGCCGTTGTTGCTCCTAGACATTTCCACTTCACAATAACAGCACTTACAGTTGACCGGGGCAGCTCTAGCAGGTTAGAAATTTGACGAACTGACTTGTTGGAAAGGTGGCATCCTATGATGGTGCCATGTTGAAAGTCACTGAGCTCTTCAGTAATGCCATGCTCGGTTTTATACACCTGTCAGCAACGGGTGTGGCTGAAATAGCCGAATCCACTAATTTGATGGGATGTCCACATGCTTTTGTATATATGTATATGTATATGTATATGTATATGTATATATATATATATACTGCTCAAAAAAATAAAGGGAACACTTAAACAACACAATGTAACTCCAAGTTAATCACACTTCTGTGAAATCAAACTGTCCACTTAGGAAGCAACACTGATTGACAATAAATGTCACATGCTGTTGTGCAAATGGAATAGACAACAGGTGGAAATTATAGGCAATTAGCAAGACACCCCCAATAAAGGAGTGGTTCTGCAGGTGGTGACCACAGACCACTTCTCAGTTCCTATGCTTCCTGGCTGATGTTTTGGTCACTTTTGAATGGTAGCATGAGACGGAGTCTACAACCCACACAAGTGGCTCAGGTAGTGCAGCACATCCAGGATGGCACATCAATGCGAGCTGTGGCAAGAAGGTTTGCTGTGTCTGTCAGCGTAGTGTCCAGAGCATGGAGGCGCTACCAGGAGACAGGCCAGTACATCAGGAGACGTGGAGGAGGCCGTAGGAGGGCAACAACGCAGCAGCAGGACTGCTACCTCCGCCTTTGTGCAAGGAGGAGCAGGAGGAGCACTGCCAGAGCCCTGCAAAATGACCTCCAACAGGCCACAAATGTGCATGTGTCTGCTCAAACGGTCAGAAACAGACTCCATGAGGGTGGTATGAGTGCCCGACGTCCACAGGTGGGGGTTGTGCTTACAGCCCAACACCGTGCAGGACGTTTGGCATTTGCCAGAGAACACCAAGATTGGCAAATTCGCCACTGGCGCCCTGTGCTCTTCACAGATGAAAGCAGGTTCACACTGAGCACGTGACAGACGTGACAGAGTCTGGAGACGCCGTGGGAAACGTTCTGCTGCCTGCAACATCCTCCAGCATGACCGGTTTGGCGGTGGGTCAGTCATGGTGTGGGGTGGCATTTCTTTGGGGGGCCGCACAGCCCTCCATGTGCTCGCCAGAGGTAGCCTGACTGCCATTAGGTACCGAGATGAGATCCTCAGACCCCTTGTGAGACCATATGCTGGTGCGGTTGGCCCTGGGTTCCTCCTAATGCAAGACAATGCTAGACCTCATGTGGCTGGAGTGTGTCAGCAGTTCCTGCAAGAGGAAGGCATTGATGCTATGGACTGGCCCGCCCGTTCCCCAGACCTGAATCCAATTGGGCACATCTGGGACATCATGTCTCGCTCCATCCACCAACGCCACGTTGCACCACAGACTGTCCAGGAGTTGGCGGATGCTTTAGTCCAGGTCTGGGAGGAGATCCCTTAGGAGACAATCCGCCACCTCATCAGGAGCATGCCCAGGCGTTGTAGGGAAGTCATACAGGCACGTGGAGGCCACACACACGACTGAGCCTCATTTTGACTTGTTTTAAGGACATTACATCAAAGTTGGATCAGCCTGTAGTGTGGTTTTCCACTTTAATTTTGAGGGTGACTCCAAATCCAGACCTCCATGGGTTGATACATTTGATTTCCATTGATAATTTTTGTGTGATTTTGTTGTCAGCACATTCAACTATGTAAAGAAAAAAGTATTTAATAAGATTATTTCATTCATTCAGATCTAGGATGTGTTATAGTGTTCCCTTTATTTTTTTGAGCAGTGTGTGTGTATATATATATATATATCAGTGTTATCAGTTAACTCACACAAACCTGTATAGTCTACCCTATCAGTTTGTTATTGTTGTGTCTAACAAACCTGTGTGTTTTTGTGATTTGCAGGGAGGCTTTGCGCTCTTCGTCCAGCTGCTGCCCATCGTCATCCTGGTGGTTGTGTCAGCTCTCAGTCAGATGATGGTCTCCACTGCCCCCTACAGCCTCAGCTTCAGGCCGTGAGTCTGACCCCTGACCCCCCCCTCCACCTGGATCATAACCTCGTGGAGAAGCCAGGTCCTATGCTTCTGCTCTCCTGATTCTGGGAATGTTCCAACCAGGATTTCTGGAAAAATTTGGAATTTCTTGATATTTGGAAAAGTTACTGGAATTTTTCAACCCTAGTTGTGCTGTCTTAAACTCATATAGTCATATATTTGACTATGATATATTATGAAGCACCTTCCCCCCCAAATAATGCAATCATTTTATGGTTCTTCTTTCCTTGTATTACAAAATGCTGAACTGCCTTTGATGGGACGGATTATTCCCCAATTGCACACTTATCCTGCTATGACAAAGTATTTCACAATTTGGTAATCCTCTAGTAATGATTATTTCTGGAAATTGTTTGGAAATCTGGTTTTCAGCAGTTTCTTTGTGTTGCTAGCTGCATTAGTTTGACTGAGGTGGAGAGATGGTCATCTACTGTGTCCCAAATGGCACCCTATTCCCTATTGGCCCTGGTCAAAAGTAGTACACTAAATAGGGAATAGGGTGCCATTTGGGACGCATCCTGGTAGTCTTTAGGGAGGGTACAGGTCATAGATTGACTTTAGGGGAAAGTAGTCATAAGGGGTCTTTGGTCCATGGTTAAGACCTGATGAGGGTCGGTCCATGGTTAAGACCTGATGAGGGTCGGTCCATGGTTAAGACCTGATGAGGGTCGGTCCATGGTTAAGACCTGATGAGGGTCGGTCCATGGTTAAGACCTGATGAGGGTCGGTCCATGGTTAAGACCTGATGAGGGTCGGTCCATGGTTAAGACCTGATGAGGGTCGGTCCATGGTTAAGACCTGATGAGGGTCGGTCCATGGTTAAGACCTGATGAGGGTCGGTCCATGGTTAAGACCTGATGAGGGTCGGTCCATGGTTAAGACCTGATGAGGGTCGGTCCATGGTTAAGACCTGATGAGGGTCGGTCCATGGTTAAGACCTGATGAGGGTCGGTCCATGGTTAAGACCTGATGAGGGTCGGTCCATGGTTAAGACCTGATGAGGGTCGGTCCATGGTTAAGACCTGATGAGGGTCGGTCCATGGTTAAGACCTGATGAGGGTCGGTCCATGCTTAAGACCTGATGAGGGTCGGTCCATGCTTAAGACCTGATGAGGGTCGGTCCATGGTTAAGACATGATGAGGGTCGGTCCATGGTTAAGACATGATGAGGGTCGGTCCATGGTTAAGATCTGATGAGGGTCGGTCCATGGTTAAGACATGATGAGGGTTGGTTCATGGTTAAGACATGATGATGGTTGGTCCATGGTTAGGACATGATGATGGTTGGTTCATGGTTAAGACCTGATGAGGGTTGGTCCATGGTTAAGACATGATGATGGTTGGTAGGCTTGGGCGGTATACCAGGGTATTTGAAAAAGCTACAGGATGGTTTTTCAATACCGTCAACTATTTATTTGTAATTTTTCAATAAATGTGAATATTTGTAGCTACCTATTAAGTTAATACCTGCAGTCAACTTGTGCAATGCATTGGGGGATAAAGCAGATTGCGTTCTTCATTTCACCTGTCACATTATTTGACATTATGAAGCTTACCATAGTTCCCCAGAACAGTTGAGCCAGTCACATGTTTGTTTGTAAATAGCAGAAGGGGAGAAAGTGGGAGCTGGTGAGTCCATAGCGTTCTATACTATCGGCAAGTCTCTGTTGTGCAGCACATGAGGTGATGAAGTTACACTTGTGCGCAATTCACTACTAAATGTTTGTCATCAGATATCTTATAATGGCTTTCTGCCAGAAGTCAGAGCGCTCTGGATGAGTTCTGGACAGTGGCCATTTTGTCCCTGTGCTTCCTACTAGCGGTTCTTTCCTCCTCTGTTCTTCTCCCCTCTGCTCCGTGTTCACATGCTGTTCTTCTCCCCTCTGCTCCGTGTTCACATGCTGTTCTTCTCCCCTCTGCTCCGTGTTCACATGCTGTTCTTCTCCCCTCTGCTCCGTGTTCCTTCAGAAAAGCATGCATCACAACTTTGTTCATTTGCACAATTTCTCTCGTTCACTTTCGCCTGTAAATGGTCCCACTCTCCGAAAATGACATTCGGTAGCTACTATCTATGCTTGTATAACTTTATGAGCTGGATTTGTCTGTCTTTGCTCGTTAGCATTTAGATAACAGTGTCTGTGATTTTGCTATTAGTTTGTGCTAATTTATGCTAATTAAGGCCCAATGGGCTTTTCTTGCATATTTAGCGCCCCCTTGTGTGCTATGCCGGTAATACGTAAACCCCCAGATGAGAAAAGGATTGTATGACAATATGAAAATCTGGATACAGCCCAAGCCTAATGGTTGGGACATTAGGTCCATGTTAAGATATGATGATGGTTGGGACAGTAGGTCCATGGTTAAGACATGATGATGGTTGGGACATTAGGTCCATGGTTAAGACATGATGATGGTTGGGACATTAGGTCCATGGTTAAGACATGATGATGGTTGGGACATTAGGTCCATGTTAAGATATGATGATGGTTGGGACATTAGGTCCATGGTTAAGACATGATGATGGTTGGGACATTAGGTCCATGGTTAAGACATGATGATGGTTGGGACATTAGGTCCATGTTAAGATATGATGATGGTTGGGACATTAGGTCCATGTTAAGATATGATGATGGTTGGAACATTAGGTCCATGTTAAGATATGATGATGGTTGGTCCATGGTTAAGACGTGATGGTTGGTCCATGGTTAAGACATGGTTGTGACATTTGGTCCATGGTTAAGACGTGATGATGGTTGTGACATTTGGTTTGCCAATCCAGTATTGGCTGATGGGTTCGACCTAGAACAGATAGTAAATAATGCCTTGGCCCAGGGCCGGATTAAGAAATCATAGGCCCCAGGGCTTTGTTTTTTCATAGCCCCCCCCCACCCATAATATTAGCCAACCATAGAAATATAATCTATAGATGGTAGTTCCCATTCAAGTCAGGACTAGCAGCCATTGCTAGTGTACCCATGAGTTTAAAAGTCAAATTGTCAGGGCTATAGGTTCCAAAGCCCTTCTATGGATTATATGTCTATGGCCACAAGGCAACGAGCTGTAGCCTCTATTTGATACGCATGCTGCCCAAACTGCAGCCTTCCAGACTGTTCTACATGAAGCACTGTAAACCCCTGTATTACTCTGGCCCTCTCTACACCTACCATCCTAATGTTGTTCTACTGCTAAAGAGCAGGCTATCAGTTTTCAAGTCACCATAGCCAGGAATAGCAACATTTTCTCGTTTCATTTTAACCTTCTACAATATCGTATGTGGCTTGATGTGTGTTTTGCTTTCTTGATAATACCGTCTTGTTATACAGTGAGGGGAAAAAAGTATTTGATCCCCTGTTGATTTTGTACGTTTGCCCACTGACAAAGACGTGATCAGTCTATAATTTTAATGTTAGGTTTATTTGAACAGTGAGAGACAGAATGACAACAAAAAATGGTTGTCAAAAATGTTATAAATTGATTTGCATTTTAATGAGGGAAATAAGTATTTGACCCCTCTGCAAAACATGACTTAGTACTTGGTGGCAAAACCCTTGTTGGCAATCAGAGGTCAGACGTTTCTTGTAGTTGGCCACCAGGTTTGCACACATCTCAGGAGGGATTTTGTTCCACTCCTCTTTGCAGATCTTCTCCAAGTCATTACGGTTTCGAGGCTGACGTTTGGCAACTCTAACCTTCAGCTCCCTCCACAGATTTTCTATGGGATTAAGGACTGGAGACTGGCTAGGCCACTCCAGGACCTTAATGTGCTTCTTCTTGAGCCACTCCTTTGTTGCCTTGGCCGTGTGTTTTGGGTCATTGTCATGCTGGAATACCCATCCACGACCCATTTTCAATGCCCTGGCTGAGGGAAGGAGGTTCTCACACAAGATTTGACGGTACATGGCCCCGTCCATCATCCCTTTGATGCGGTGAAGTTGTCCTGTCCGCTTAGCAGAAAAACACCCCCAAAGCATAATGTTTCCACCTCCATGTTTGACGGTGGGGATGGTGTTCTTGGGGTCATAGGCAGCATTCCTCCTCCTCCAAACACGGCGAGTTGAGTTAATGCCAAAGAGCTCGATTTTGGTCTCATCTGACCACAACACTTTCACCCAGTTCTCCTCTGAATCATTCAGATGTACAATGGCAAACTTCAGACGGGCCTGTATATGTGCTTTCTTGAGCAGTGGGACCTTGCAGGCGCTGCAGGATTTCAGTCCTTCACGGCGTACTGTGTTACCAATTGTTTTCTTGGTGACTATGGTCCCAGCTGCCTTGAAATCATTGACAAGATCCTCACGTGTAGTTCTGGGCTGATTCCTCACCGTTCTCATGATCCTTGCAACTCCACAAGGTGAGATCTTGCAGGGAGCCCGAGGCCGAGGGAGATTGACAGTTATTTTGTGTTTCTTCCATTTGCGAATAATCGCACCAACTGTTGTCACCTTCTCACCAAGCTACTTGGCAATGGTCTTGTAGCCCATTCCAGCCTTGTGTAGGTCTACAATCTTGTCCCTGACATCCTTGGAGAGCTCTTTGGTCTTGGCCATGGTGGAGAGTTTGGAATCTGATTGATTGATTGCTTCTGTGGACAGGTGTCTTTTATACAGGTAACAAACTGAGATTAGGAGCACTCCCTTTAAGAGTGTGCTCCTAATCTCAGCTCGTTACCTGTATAAAAGACACCTTGGAGCCAGAAATCTTTCAGATTGAGAGGGGGTCAAATACTTATTTCCCTCATTGAAATGCAAATCAATTTATAACATTTTTGACATGCGTTTTTCTGGATTTTGTTGTTGTTATTCTGTCTCTCACTGTTCAAATAAACCTACCATTAAAATTATAGACTGATCATGTCTTTGTCAGTGGGCAAACGTACAAAATCAGCAGGGGATCAAATACTTTTTTCCCTCACTGTAACTCAAAATCGTATCTTTCTTGATAATACCGTCTTGTTATAACTCAAAATATATATTTTACTGAGCGTGTTACTGCTCCCTCAGAAAACCTTTCTCTATCCCTCTAGTCACTGTATTGGTTACTAGATGTCTGGCCTCTTATCTCTGAATCCTCATAGAGACACCGCAGGTGGTCGGCTGGCAGGCAGGAACACAGAGCCCTCTACTTCTGTCTGTCTGTTATCACCACCATTACCCTACTCCTCTGTCTGTCTGTTATCACCACCATTACCCTACTCCTCTGTCTGTCTGTTATCACCACCATTACCCTACTCCTCTGTCTGTCTGTTATCACCACCATTACCCTACTCCTCTGTCTGTCTGTTATCACCACCATTACCCTACTCCTCTGTCTGTCTCTTATCACCACCATTACCCTACTCCTCTGTCTGTCTGTTATCACCACCATTACCCTACTCCTCTGTCTGTCTGTTATCACCACCATTACCTTACTCCTCTGTCTGTTATCATCACCATTACCCTACTATTCTGTCTGTCTGTTATCACCACCATTACCCTACTCCTCTGTCTGTCTGTTATCACCACCATTACCCTACTCCTCTGTCTGTCTGTTATCACCACCATTACCCTACTCCTCTGTCTGTCTGTTATCATCATCCACCATTCACCATTCCCTACTCTCTTTGTGTTCCCCACTTAAACCAAACGTACTCTTCTTGATACCGTCTTGTTATACTCACAAATTATATTACTGCGTGTTATCACCCCATACCTACCCTTTCTGCGTATACCCTCTATCACCTGTTGGTTATAATATCTGGCCTCTATCTCTGATCCTCTTATAACCACCATTACCTAGCTCGTCTGTCTGACACACAACCCTTACTTCTGTCTGTCTGTTATCACCACCATTACCCTACTCCTCTGTCTGTTATCACCACCATTACCCTACTCCTCTGTCTGTCTGTTATCACCACCATTACCCTACTCCTCTGTCTGTCTGTTATCACCACCATTACCCTACTCCTCTGTCTGTCTGTTATCACCCATTACCCTACTCCTCTGTCTGTCTGTTATCACCACCATTACCCTACTCCTCTGTCTGTCTGTTATCACACCATTACCCTACTCCTCTGTCTGTCTGTTATCACCACCATTACCCTACTCCTCTGTCTGTCTGTTATCAACCACCATTACCCTACTCCTCTGTGTTCTGTTATCACCACCATTACCCTAACCCTCTGTCTGTCTGTTATCAACCACCATTAACCCTACTCCTCTTCGTCTGTTATCACCAACCATTACCCTACTCCTCTGTCTGTCTGTTATCCACATTACCCCTACTCCTCTGTCTGTCTGTTATCACCACCATTACCCTACTCCTCTCTCTGTCTCTGATATCACAACCATTAACCCTACTCCTCTGTCTGTCTTTATCACCACCATTACCCTACTCCTCTGTCCTGTCTTGTATCACCACCCTACTCCTCTGTATGGGTAAAAATTACCCCTGTACTCTCCTCTGTCTGATGTTATCAATCACCATTAACCCTAACTACCTACTGTCTGTCCTATTATCACCACCATTACCCATACTCCTCTGTCCTGTCTGGTTATCAGCCACCATTACCCCTCCTCCTCTGTCTGTCTGTTATCAACATTAACCCTACTCCTCTGTCCCTGTCTCTGATATCCTCACCATTACCCATACTCCTCGGTCCTCTGTTTTCTTGTTATCATACCCGCTTACCCTACTCCTCTGTCTGTCGGATTATCATTACCCTACTCCTTACTGCTGTCGATATCAGCACCTTACCCTACTCCTCTGTCTGTCTGTTGATCATTACCATCCCTACTCTCTGTCTGTCTGTATATCACACCATTACCCTACTCCTCTGTCTGTCTGTTATCACCACCATTACCCTACTCCTCTGTCTGTCTGTTATCACCACCATTACCCTACTCCTCTGTCTGTTATCATCACCATTACCCTACTCCTCTGTCTGTCTGTTATCACCACCATTACCCTACTCCTCTGTCTGTCTGTTATCATCACCATTACCCTACTCCTCTGTCTGTTATCACACCATTACCCTACTCCTCTGTCTGTCTGTTATCACCACCATTACCCTACTCCTGTCTGTCTGTTATCACACCATTACCCTACTCCTCTGTCTGTCTGATATCACCACCATTACCCTACTCCTCTGTCTGTCTGTTATCACCACCATTACCCTACTCCTCTGTCTGTCTGTTATCACCACCATTACCCTACTCCTCTGTCTGTCTGTCTGTCTGTTATCACCACCATTACCCTACTCCTTGTGTCGTTATCACCACCATTACCCTACTCCTCTGTCTGTCTGTTATCACACCATTACCCTACTCCTCTGTCTGTCTGTTATCACCACCATTACCCTACTCCTCTGTCTGTCTGTTATCAACACCATTACCCTACTCCTCTGTCTGTCTGTTATCACCACCATTACCCTACTCCTCTGTCTGTCTGTTATCACCACCATTACCCTACTCCTGTCTGTCTGTTATCACCACCATTACCCTACTCCTCTGTCTGTCTGTTATCACCACCATTACCCTACTCCTCTGTCTGTCTGTTATCACCACCATTACCCTACTCCTCTGTCTGTCTGTTATCACCACCATTACCCTACTCCTCTGTCTGTCTGTTATCACCACCATTCCCTACTCCTTCTGTCTTTTATCACCCATTACCTCTGTCTGTCTGTCTGTTATCACCACCATTACCCTACTCCTCTGAGTGTTATCACCACCATTACCCTACTCCTCTGTCTGTCTGTTATCACCACCATTACCCTACTCCTCTGTCTGTCTGTTATAACCACCATTACCCTACTCCTCTGTCTGTCTGTTATCACCACCATTACCCTACTCCTCTGTCTGTCTGTTATCAACCATACCCACTCTTGAGTGTTACACACCATACCCTACTGTCTGTCTGTTATCACACATACCTACTCTCGTGTTACCCACCCATACTGTCCTCTAGTGTTATCACCACCATTACCCTACTCCTCTGTCGTGTTATCACCACCATTACCCTACTCCTCTGTCTGTCTGTTATCACCACCATTACCCTACTCCTCTGAGTTTTCACCTACTCTGTCTTTTATCACACCATTACCCTACTCCTCTGTCTGTACTGTTTTATCACCACCATTACCCTACTCCTCTTCTGTTGTGTTATCACACCACCATTACCCTACTCCTCTGCTGTTGTCGCTGATGTTATCACCACCATTACCCTACTCCTCTGAGTGTTATCACCCATCCCTTCTGATTTTACACACTACCTACTCCTGTCTGTTATCACACCATTACCCTACTCCTCTGTCTGTCTGTTATCACCACCATTACCCTACTCCTCTGTCTGTCTGTCTGTTATCACCACCATTACCCTACTCCTCTGAGTGTTATCACCACCATTACCCTACTCCTCTGAGTGTTATCACCACCATTACCCTACTCCTCTGTCTGTATGTCTGTTATCACCACATTACCCTACTCCTCTGAGTGTTATCACCACCATTACCCTACTCCTCTGTCTGTTATCCCCACCATTACCCTACTCCTCTGTCTGTCTGTTATCACACCATTACCCTACTCCTCTGAGTGTTATCACCACCATTACCCTACTCCTCTGTGTGTTATCACCACCATTACCCTACTCCGTCTGTCTGTTATCACACCATTACCCTACTCCTCTGAGTGTTATCACCACCATTACCCTACTCCTCTGAGTGTTATCACCACCATTACCCTACTCCTCTGAGTGTTATCACACCATTACCCTACTCCTCTGTCTGTCTGTTATCACCACCATTACCCTACTCCTCTGAGTGTTATCACACCATTACCCTACTCCTCTGTGTCTGTTCAACCCTATCTTGTGTTATCACACCATTACCCTACTCCTCTGAGTTGTTATCACCACCATTACCCTACTCCTCTGTGTATCACACATACCTATCTGTCTGTTATCACCACCATTACCCTACTCCTCTGAGTGTTATCACCACCATTACCCTACTCCTCTGATGTTATCACCATCCCCTACCCTGATTATCACACCTACCTCTCTCTTGTCTGTCTGTTATCCACATACCTATCTCTGATTACACCATACCCTATCCTCTGTCTGTTACACACCATTACCCTACTCCTCTGAGTGTTGATCACCACATTACCTACTCTCTGTAGTGTTATCACCCATTACCCTACTCCTCTGAGTGTTATCACACCATTACCCTACTCCTCTGAGTGTTATCAACACCATTACCCTACTCCTCTGTCTGTTATCAACACCATTACCCTACTCCTCTGTCTGTCTGTCTGTTATCACCACCATTACCCTACTCCTCTGTCTGTTATCAACACCATTACCCTACTCCTCTGTCTGTTATCACCACCATTACCCTACTCCTCTGTCTGTTATCACCACTGTTACTGTAGTGTGGGAGACTATACTGATTGTTCCAGAGAGTAGTCCACTGTCATGTCCCACGATAAAGGGATTGGTGTTGGTGGGTTTGATCATGTGAAGCTGCTTCACTCACTGTTCTCTCTCCTTCCTGTTCTCTCTCTTTCTCTCTCTCCCTCCATCCATCAAATTCAGGTCGGTTGGTCACACACACAAGAGGTACACAGAGACCTTGAGGGTGCCGTACTATGTGGGAGACCACTTCTCCAGGGAGTACAACGGACTGAATCTGAAGACTGTGGAGAGGAGTGTGGAGGATGATTACATCTCCAACCTCAGAAACAACTGCTGGAAGGAGAAACAACAGAGTATGTTCAATTAATAATTATCTTCTTCGTTGACCTTTGTCTGTCTTTGGATGATGAAGTTGTTCTATTGATTCATCAATATTCTCCACATTAGTCAATTCCAAGTGGCTGGCTACTTTAAAATGGATGTATACTGGAGGAGTGTTTTAATGATTTAGTTTGGATGCTTCAGGTTTTCTGATCCTACCTAAACCGGCTGTTTCAAACAGACCGACTGTTTGCTATTACGTAAGATTGATAACACAGTACCAGAAAGTGATATCCTCTGCAAAGAAATAGCACTACTTCACATGCAGAGGAGGCTGTTGAGGGGAGAACGGCTCATAATAATGTCTGGAATGGAATGTAAGGGCCCTATAAAATTAGGTAATTTTTTTTTGCATGATTCAGTTTTTTATCAAATTCAATTTTCTCCATTTTGTTTTTCCAGGATTCCATTTCCCCCCAGTTTTCTTTAGGGTTTCGCTCTCAAAATCACACTTTTTAAAATAGATAAAAACAACTAAATGTTCTAAGTCCACTACATCACTTAAACCACACCAGGAGACCACTTTTGAGGTTCTGGGAAAACGGATAAATTCTGAGTTTTTGGGGGGTAGTTACCATTTAATTCCAGTGTACACCTAGCAAGAGGCTGTTTCGAGGTGTTTTTGTAGCACACGTGATGGTAGAGTTTACCAAACAATTACCCACAACAATCACTGTATCGTTCTGCCAGGTTAGCATAGCCTACTATGTAGTTAACATTTCATTGAGAAGGTTTTTGGGAAAGCCTTTCCATATCCAGAAGATTTTTCATTAGCATCAATGCTAACGGCTACATAAAGTGGTAGATGCCTGCACCACACATGCACAGACAGGGAATTCTTGTTGCCTCTTCGGAAAGTAGCAGGAAATACGAATTACTGATGCATTTTGTTCAGGTCTCATGATAAACTTCATTTTCAATGAATTTGGTTGATTCCCCTACTAATAAGTTCAATACATTTTTTTGAATATTGTTGAATTCCATTTTTAATGCCAGGATTCCGTGATTCCGTCCTCATTCTCCACATTGCGGATTGTCTAGGGCCCTAGGAATGGTACCATTCCATTTATTCTGTTCCAGACATTACTATGAGCCCGTCCTCCTATTTAAAGTGCCAGCCACCACCGTTTCACATGGCAGGTGAAGGCACATAGCAGTTTTACATTACAACACATTATCATTCAGATGATTGGTTGTCTGGGCAAAATGCAAAGGCTAGGATAAACTATTTTTGGCCTTTCTCTTGTACTTCCTGTTTATCTTATTTAACTTGTATTGTAATGTCCAGCCACGCCCAAGTAGGCCCAGTCTGTCTGCTCTACGGGGAAAAGCCATTCTGTTTGCCTTAGGCTTTCGTCACAATTCTGCTCCCTTCTCCCAAAGTGTACACTTGCACACTTTCTTGCATGGATTTAACAACAGTGGAAACTCACTCCAGCCAATGCTTACGACAATCACGTGCTTTTAAATCCACGACAGGGAGTGCACACTTCTGGAAAAGAATGGAGTGTTGGGACTGAGCCATTGTACTTTTGTTGTTGTGTTCCAGAGGAGGGCCTGCTGTATCGAGCTCGGTATTTTGGAGACAATGAGTTGTACCAGAGGGCTCAGAAGATGGGGACACCGAGCTGCTCCAGGCTGTCTGACATCTCTGTTTCCTTAGGCGGTTAAATAAAGGAAGGCTGCTGATCGCCACACTGATAGGTAAGAGCTCAACACTAAAACTGATGCAACCCAAATGGCACCCTATTCCCTATATAGTGCACTACTTTTGACCAGGGCCTGCAGTGCACTGTGTAGGGAATAGGGTGCCATTTGGGACTCAGTCAGGCACAGTCTCTGTCTCCATATAGGGCTCCATTGTTGTAGTGTACCTATTGGTTTATGTAGGTTATGAAGTCCTGCTGAACTACAGTGCATTCGGAAAGTATTCAGACCCTTTGACGTTTTCCACATGTTACGTTACAGCCTTATTCTAAAATGGATTACATTTTAATGTTTTTCCTCATCAATCTTCACACAATACCCCATAATGACAAAGCGAAAACAGGTTTTTAGAAATGTTTGCTATGAGACTCGAAATTGAGCTCAGAATGCATCCTGTTTCCATTTAACATCCTTGAGATGTTTCTACAACTTGACTGGAGTCCACCTGTGGTAAATTCAATTGATTGGACATGATTTGGAAAGGCACATACCTGTCTATATAAGGTCCCACAGTTGACAGTGCATGTCAGAGCAAAAACCAAGCCATGAGGTCGAAGGAATCTGGGGAAGGGTACCAAAAAATTCCTGCAGCATTTGAAGGTCCCCAAGAACACAGTGGCCTCCATCATTCTGAAATGGAAGAAGTTTGGAACCACCAAGACTCTTCCTATAGGTGGCCGCCCGGCCAAACTGAGCAATCGGGGGGAGAAGGGCCTTGGTCAGGGAGGTGACCAAGAACCTGACGGTCACTCTGACAGAGCTCCAGAGTTCACCTTCCAACAGGACAATGACCCTAAGCACAAAGCCAAGACAACACAGGAGTGGCTTCGGGACAAGTCTCTGAATGTCCTTCAGAGGCCCAGCCAGAGCCCGGACTTGAACCCGATCTAACATCTCTGGAGAGACCTGAAAATAGCTGTGCAGCGACGCTCCCCATCCAACCTGACAGAGCTTGAGAGGATCTGCAGAGAAGAATGGGGAGAAACTCCCCAAATACAGGTGTGCCAAGCTTGTAGCGTCATACCCAAGAAGAATCAAGGCTGTAATCACTACCAAAGGTGCTTCAACAAAGTACTGAGTAAAGGGTCTGAATACTTATGTAAATGTGATATTTCCATTTTTTATTTTAATAAATTGGCAAACATTTCTAAAAACCTGTTTTTGCTTTGTCATTATGGGGTATTGTGTGTAGATTGATGAGGGGGGAAAACACAATTTTAGAATAAGGCTGTAATGTAACAAAATGTGGAAAAAGTCTGAATACTTTCCGAATGCACTGTATGTAAGTTACGAAGTCCTACTGAACTATGTGTGTTACGAAGTCCTACTGAACTATGTATGTTACGAAGTCCCACTGAACTATGTATGTTACGAAGTCCCACTGAACTATGCACGTTACGAGTCCTACTGACATTTGTTACGAAGTCCTACTGAATCTGTATGTTCGAAGTCCCACTGAATATGTATGTTACGAAGTCCACCGAACTATGTATGGTTACGAGTCCCACTTGAACATGATGTTACGGAATGTCCCACTGAACATGTTATGTTCCGAATCCACATGAACTATGTATGTTACGAATCCACCGAACATGTATGTACGAAGTCCACTGAACTAGTATGTACAAGTCCAATGGACTATTATGTACGAAGTCTACTGAACTATGTATGTTACGAAGTCCACTGAATATGTATTTACGAAGTCTACTGAATATGTATTTCGAATCCTAGAACATGTATGTACGAAGTTACTGAACTATGTTTCTAGTCCCTCTGAACTATCATTTCAAAGTCCCACTGAACTATTATGTTACGAGTCCCTGAACTATGTACTGTTACGAAGTCGCACTGAACTATCATGTACGAGTCCCACTGAACTATTATGTACGAGTCCACTGACTTGAGTTACGGAAGTCCCACTGAACTATGTATGTTACGAAGTCCCACTGAACTATGTATGTTACGAAGTCCCACTGAACTATGTATGTTACGAAGTCCCACTGAACTATGTATGTTACGAAGTCCCACTGAACTATGTATGTTACGAAGTCCCACTGAACTCTTAGAAAAAACAGTGCACATGTTGCCACACGATGTCTCTTTGTAAAAATCTGAGCTGGCCTTTTTTTTTACTATTATCAAATGTTATTGGTCACACACACATATTGAGCAGATGTTATTGCGGGTGTAGTGAAATGCTTGTGTTCCTAGCTCCAACAGTGCAGTAGTATCTAACAATTCACAACAATACACACAAATCGAAAAGTAAAAGAATGGAATTAAGAAATATATAAATATTAGGACGAGCAATGCTTTTAACTTCATTATAATGATTCAATCTTTAATCTGTGGATTGAAACTGAATTGTTTTTGCTCTCTCTTTCAGATAATTATCCAAATCCGCAAAAACTATTTTATCGGCTGTAAATATGTACGCTTTTCAACATTCGGGACTGTGACTTCACTGCTCACCAAAAATCAGACAGACTCTCTCCTTGAGTTGGAGACCTCTATGGCGAAGAAGAGGAGGAGAATGACCTAAACTCTTGTTGAGGAAGAATGAATGCCCTCTTTGTTGATCATGGTGATGTCATGAAGTGACTGCTCTGTTTTTAAGCTGACTGTTAGGGATACCTGCTTTTACCCTGTACCTCCCAAATGGCACCCTATTTCCTATATAGTGCACTATTTTTACCAGGATCCATATGGCTCTGGTCAAAAGTAGTGCACCATATAGGGAATAGGGTGCCATTTGGGACGAATGTCAAGTCAGATTATGTAAGGGCGGTTTTAAAATCAGGAAATACTCAGATCAGAAGTGGTTTATTATAGATGTCCTCCTTTAGCAATTGATACTACTGAGATATTCATTTTATTTCAATATGGTCAAACATTGAAGAACGGTGAAGACCAATTGAAGCTGATGGCAGTTAGTTTCCTGATTTTACTTTATATGTAGATTATGATTTTTACTATGCAGGGATTATATTTATATATTCTCCCATCAGAGCCAGTAAGGTAAACATACACCTATCAAGGCATGTACTGAGCAATTTTGATTTTGCAGACCTATGTATTTAAAATGAGTGAACCAGTGACTGAGAAAGTAATTTATTTATTGTTGAAATTCTAAAAATATAAAATGTTTTTATTCAAGATTTCTTCTTCATTAGAACACAACGTCTATCTAATAAAGTAGGTCTTGCTCACGATGACACGTTGTCCATATTATGTTTTTACTCAAACAGGGAAAATAAACATTCTACGTGCCCCATCTGTCCTCCTTTCTCCCTGTGTGTGTGTGTGTGTGTGTGTGTGAGAGAGGGAGGAGGAGAGAGTTGGACAAGGGCCCAGACAAGTCGGTGCATTACTCATCAAAAAATTGGCTTGCACAACAGTGACTAGCTGCAGCAAAGACACGAAGATGTGCACGTTTTCGATGAGATGTGCTGTTGTGCACGTTTTCAGGAACTGCGTCATTCCACAAGACGTTAGTAGCTACGTGACAAAATTACAATATGTATTTAAAACCACAAGCAAATCAGTGGTGGGGAACTAGAAGTACTGCTGTAATAATAATAATAATAATGAACATCTACCCTGGGGCTGGTTGGCAGTTTTAGTTGGCACTATCTCACTGATACGCTACGGTCTTCTTTATATGCTTGTTTCAGAACTTCACTGCCCCGTTCGGAACAAAGCTAATAGAACAGATGTCTTCCAAGGAAATCTGTCTGTCAAGGGTGTACTCATATCCAGAGGCCATTGCTTGGGATACTGCAATATATTTATCAGTTTATGGAAACACCTGTAGTTTACTTGCTGTATCGCTAGAGGGCGCTGACTCATGAAAACCCAGTCAGAAAAACAAGTGGTGGAGCTCAGACAAAGGCCCTGCAATGAATGGAAAAAAACTGTGCCTGTGTCGCAAAGAACCCTAGTATCTATAGCTTGTTGCTTCATGTTCCTTCAGAACTAATTCGTGTTACAATTAATCTAATGATTATAAGCCTTTCCCATTCTGGCTGCTTTTACACAATACACTGGCAGCCCAATTTGGATCTTTTTGCACAATTATTGGCAAAGATCTGATCTAATTGGTCAAAAGTCAAGCCCAATCAGTGGGGGGGGGATCTGAATTTTGCTGCCTGTGTGAAACGCAGCCAGCAGTGTGCAACAACATATAGTGACTGACTCAATGAGGTAAAGTGGAGTTTCATTCAGCGCTAGGTATCACAATACACTACACCCACTCATAAGACATTCTGAAAGGTTTGGTCAAAGCAACAATGACAATGAGTTTTGTAAAAAATAATTTATTATCTGAAGTTCCTTAAATGAAAAGTATCAAGACAGTGTGGATATTTGAATATCAAATAAAATGATGCACAGATGAGTATGCAGGAGGACAAACCGGTCTAAACTGGAAATAAAGAATCAAGTAAACTGACCTGTGGTTCACAGAATGGACGCTACAGACGGAGAAGCAAGTGCTGGTAAGTAATGTTGGTCTCTTACCAAACATGTCAATCTGGTCCCCTTACCATGGTGTACAACGAATTGCCATGAAGAAAAAAAATATATATATAAAACCACAATAGTTTCAAAATGGCCCCATACATTACCATACAGCTAGCTGCCATAGTCTGGTTTCAATAGAAACAGGTAAACATTTTTAGCAATAAAATGGAAAACCAAACCACCCATCTTTTATAAAATGGATATTAGTGGTTTACAATTTGCAAAAGTGCCAGAAACTTCATTTTCAGTGTTTGAGTTAGCTCCATTCTCTTAAGCACAATAAACCAGTCACGTACCATTTACTGTGGGCTCCCCGCTCCATTCTCTTAAGCACAATTGGTGTTCGCTTATAAACTTGTCACGTACCATTTACTGTGGCTCCCCTACACTGGGACACCAATCCGCAAATAATGTAAATGTACATAGCAATGTAATCTTAACAGTTAAGAAAATGTCCTAGAAATCGTACATTTGACTAGAATCCCAAATGTTGATTACTAGGGCTCTGATGAGCGTTGTAGGTAGGACACTTGGTACAACAAGGTTTATTGGAAAAATATCTAAAGAAAGTCTCTTTGGTTTCTTTCAGCACTCTTCGATGAGCAACTCTTCAGAGCTGTACAGTTTCTTCTTGATCACTCTGAAGCCCGTGCTCAGTCTAATCGCCTGTCTCTTTACGGGACTGGATGGAGACTTTGTGGAGAAAAGCCCTTGGATTTTGGGCCACAGTCCTCCAGAATCGAGCCTCAGCACCAGTGTGAGCTGGAAGGTAGGGACGAGGTATGGGTCCACAGCGATCTGTTCCATACTCTGGCACACCTCCCCCTGTTCCACACAGAGGTCTATGAGAGCCCCCCTCAGGCCGCAGGGCTCGCTGGCTGCCAGGTGGAGAAGCTCTTGGCCTATGTGCTCTAGAAGCTTCTCAGGGATGAGTAGTTTGGAACATCTCAGGGCACCATCTTTGGCTTCCCTTAAACTACAGGCAATTAGGTCCACAAGTTCTTTCAGAAGGGTCTCCTCCATTGAGAGGAGATCGTCGTATAACACGTTGCCGAAGTCGTCAGATGAGGAGATAGAGGGAAAGTCAAACCCTGGAAGATAGAGGGCGGTTTTAGTCATACAGAACATCAGATAGATCGACCTTGTCAACAGTTGTCAAACTAGCAATAGTAGCATGGTCCCAGATCTGTATGTTTCTGTATTGCCAACTCCCATCATCAACAAGACAGCACAAACAGATCTGGGGACCAGGCTAGGTCGAGCTATTGTTAAATATTTACCGGAGTCTGAGAGGTCAGTCCTGCTGCCATTGTCTGAGTCGGAGTCTATGCTGTGACGGCTGGTGTTGCCGGCTCCACTGAAGTCGGTTAACTTCTGCACCAGTTTCCCCCATGACGACCGTCTGGCGGTGGCGTCCATCGGAGAAGGGGGTGAGCTGGAGCAGTCTATGTCAGCGACCATCATGGTTGTAGGAAGTGCAGGCATGATTTCCAGTGGTCAAGTGTTCAACTTCTTGTAACTTTCAAGTCTCAGGGATCATAGATCAGGTTCTGTTGAGAAACAACGGCAAAGATAAGAACACTGAATTTTAAATGAAGAGAATAGCTAGCTAGCTACAGTAACTAGCTAGACCTTACATCTCAGACAACCTTAACAATACAGCTAGCTATTCAGTGACTGACATAACTAGTTATCTATTCTAGAAAACGTTGATCGAGTCGAGAAAAGTCAGTTGGCTAGCTAGCTAGCTAGTGTTATCGTTTCATTCCCTGTTTAAAGTTGACGCTCGAGACAATACATTGACATGATAGCCAGTGACAGTAATGATACTTACAAAGATATGTTGCTAACGTGGAAATGTTCTTTCAGTTGTAATCCAGTTAAAGTCAGTGAATTTATTTTTTGCTGAGATTGGAGGACAAAGGCTTCCCAGTCAATCCGAGCCGACTGTATTTCTACGTGTAGCTTCCCGTTACTCAGCTGCTCAGCTCTGCAGATATTCTGCAACAACAAAGCCGTTTAAATAGCCCTTCTGCAGACTGGAGGAGAGCACGCCCATTTCTCACTTTTCAGCCAATCAGAGGCAGGGGCACGTCATCGACGTTCTATCTTGCCTGGTAACACGCGGTTGTACAGATGGGGTAGAAGGAAGGAATTAAAGAGGGGGGCTGGGACCCCCAAATGTCATTTTCGCTCGGAAAAACACCAGCCACGGTCTTTGTTGCACGTAGTACTAGCCCGGACATAGCCCGAACATCTTAAAACTCCATACACTTGTTCAATTTCCCAAAATAATTGGATGCAATATATTGACAAAGAAAAAAGTGTAACATTACGTCATGGATTTGGAACAATGTATCTGATACAAGCTAAGCGCATTACATTGTAGCAGCAGAGTAGGCATAGTCCACTGTTTCCTACACTAGACATAGTTCTAGACACAACATGCATTTTACCTGATACCCTAAAAAAAAGAACTTACAACAGCAGTGTAATCAATTTGGTGGCGCGTGGTTATGATTTTACTTGCAATAAGAACTGTCGAAAATGTTGTTTTGTCATCCCATATCGCCCCACCCCCCTTCCAAAGCACAAGCAATAGGCATAGAAACTATTATCCAAAGACAAACAAAAGAGCCGCAGACAATGGCCACACTTCTGGTTATAATATAGCTTGACTTTATATGTTTTTATGTTGCCTTTATATTATGTCAATTCATGAGTTGGTTATAGTAACAGTTCTTTTATGTTATTCGGTGTACTCCAAGTATGATGCAATGTTACAATGTTATATGCTCAGCTGCTGTTAAGAGTACATACTGTATATCGTAACTTTGCATCTTCCACTTCCCACAGGATAGAAGATTCTCTGTTACCATTTATATCGCAAGGAAGAGCATTTACAGGAATACTGATAATTTATCAACAAATCACATTATAAATGTCAGACACATTGCTGAACTGTCTGTAATACCTTATCTGTTTAGATCATGTTGTTGATGTTATCACAAAAGGATAACATGATGACTAATGAGTGTGAGGAACTGTTTCAGGAAGTATGGTAATTGGGTTAGGACATTATCTTCATGTACTGAACAGCATGTTCTGAATGCAGGTAAACAAATGTGTTGGTTTTGTGTTTGGAGGATGCAGGGACACATTTTGCATAGTTCTGTGTTTATTTTATTGTCACACACACACTGGATTAGGTGCAGTGAAAAGTGAAATGTGTTGTTTTACAGGGTCAGCCATAGTAGTATGATAGGTGCAGTGTAATGTGTTGTTTACAGGGTCAGCCATAGTAGTATGATAGGTGCAGTGTAATGTGTTGTTTTACAGGGTCAGCCATAGTAGTATGATAGGTGCAGTGAAATGTGTTGTTTTAAAGGGTCAGCCATAGTAGTATGATAGGTGCAGTGAAATGTGTTGTTTTACAGGGTCAGCCATAGTAGTATGATAGGTGCAGTGTAATGTGTTGTTTTACAGGGTCAGCCATAGTAGTATGATAGGTGCAGTGTAATGTGTTGTTTTACAGGGTCAGCCATAGTAGTATGATAGGTGCAGTGAAATGTGTTGTTTTACAGGGTCAGCCATAGTAGTATGATAGGTGCAGTGTAATGTGTTGTTTTACAGGGTCAGCCATAGTAGTATGATAGGTGCAGTGTAATGTGTTGTTTTACAGGGTCAGCCATAGTAGTATGATAGGTGCAGTGAAATGTGTTGTTTTACAGGGTCAGCCATAGTAGTATGATAGGTGCAGTGAAATGTGTTGTTTTACAGGGTCAGCCATAGTAGTATGATAGGTGCAGTGTAATGTGTTGTTTTACAGGGTCAGCCATAGTAGTATGATAGGTGCAGTGTAATGTGTTGTTTTACAGGGTCAGCCATAGTAGTATGATAGGTGCAGTGAAATGTGTTGTTTTACAGGGTCAGCAATAGTAGTACAGCACCCCTGACGCAAATGTGGGTTAAGTGCCTTGCTCAAGGGCACATCGACTGATTTTTCACCTTGTCGGCTCAGGTATTTGAACCAGCGACCTTTCGGTTACTGGACCAACTCTCTAACCGCTAGGCTACCTGCCATGTTGCATAGTACTGAGACTAGAGTCTCGTTTTCAGATGAGCCCTGCATAAATACATCAAACATACAGTGGGGAAAAAAAGTATTTAGTCAGCCACCAATTGTGCAAGTTCTCCCACTTAAAAAGATGAGAGAGGCCTGTAATTTTCATCATAGGTACACGTCAACTATGACAGACAAAATGAGGAAAAAAAATCCAGAAAATCACATTGTATGATTTTTTATGAATTTATTTGCAAATTATGGTGGAAAATAAGTATTTGGTCAATAACAAAAGTTTCTCAATACTTTGTTATATACCCTTTGTTGGCAATGACACAGGTCAAACGTTTTCTGTAAGTCTTCACAAGGTTTTCACACACTGTTGCTGGTATTTTGGCCCATTCCTCCATGCAGATCTCCTCTAGAGCAGTGATGTTTTGGGGCTGTCGCTGGGCAACACGGACTTTCAACTCCCTCCAAAGATTTTCTATGGGGTTGAGATCTGGAGACTGGCTAGGCCATTCCAGGACCTTGAAATGCTTCTTACGAAGCCACTCCTTCGTTGCCCGGGCGGTGTGTTTGGGATCATTGTCATACTGAAAGACCCAGCCACGTTTCATCTTCAATGCCCTTGCTGATGGAAGGAGGTTTTCACTCAAAATCTCACGATACATGGCCCCATTCATTCTTTCCTTTACACGAATCAGTCGTCCTGGTCCCTTGCAGAAAAACAGCCCCAAAGCATGATGTTTCCACCCCCATGCTTCAAAGTAGGTATGGTGTTCTTTGGATGCAACTCAGCATTCTTTGTCCTCCAAACACGACGAGTTGAGTTTTTACCAAAAAGTTCTATTTTGGTTTCATCTGACCATATGACATTCTCCCAATCCTCTTCTGGATCATCCAAATGCACTCTAGCACGGGCCTGGACATGTACTGGCTTAAGCAGGGGGACACGTCTGGCACTGCAGGATTTAAGTCCCTGGCGGCGTAGTGTGTTACTGATGGTAGGCTTTGTTACTTTGGTCCCAGCTCTCTGCAGGTCATTCACTAGGTCCCCCCGTGTGGTTCTGGGAATTTTGCTCACCGGTCTTGTGATCATTTTGACCCCACGGGGTGAGATCTTTCGTGGAGCCCCAGATCGAGGGAGATTATCAGTGGTCTTGTATGCCTTCCATTTCCTAATAATTGCTCCCACAGTTGATTTCTTCAAACCAAGCTGCTTACCTATTGCAGATTCAGTCTTCCCAGCCTGGTGCAGGTCTACAATTTTGTTTCTGGTGTCCTTTGACAGCTCTTTGGTCTTGGCCATAGTGGAGTTTGGAGTGTGACTGTTTGAGCTTGTGGGCAGGTGTCTTTTATACTGATAACAAGTTCAAACAGGTGCCATTAATACAGGTAACGAGTGGAGGACAGAGGAGCCTCTTAAAGAAGAAGTTACAGGTCTGTGAGAGCCAGAAATCTTGCTTGTTTGTAGGTGACCAAATACTTATTTTCCACCATAATTTGCAAATAAATTCATTAAAAATCCTACAATGTGATTTTCTGGAATTTTTTTCCTCAATTTGTCTGTCATAGTTGACGTGTACCTATGATGAAAATTACAGGCCTCTCTCATCTTTTTAAGTGGGAGAACTTGCACAATTGGTGGCTGACTAAATACTTTTACACACCGCCCGGGCAACGAAGGAGTGGCTTCGTAAGAAGCATTTCAAGGTCCTGGAGTGGCCTAGCCAGTCTCCAGATCTCAACCCCATAGAAAATCTTTGGAGGTGTCACGATCGTCTAAAACAGGAGACCAAGGCGCAGCGTTGCGAGTGAACACTTTAATGATAAAGCACGTAAATACAAAACAAAAGACGATAGTGAAGTCCAACAGTGACTATGACTGAAACGGAACAAAAACCCACAACCCCAAGGTGAAAACACACAGTATAAATATGGCTCCCAATCAGAGATAACGAGCCGACAGCTGACACTCGTTACCTCCGATTGGGAGTCATTGACCAAACATAGAAAACAACAACCTAGACACCCAACATAGAACATAAACACATAGACTGCACACACCCTGGCTCAACAATAATGAGTCCCAGAACCAGGGTGTGACAGTACCCCCCCCTAAAGGCGCGGACTGCGACCGCGCCTCAAAACCCCCAAACAGGGGAGGGCTGGGCGGGCATACCTCCTCGGTGGCGGTTCTGGCTCCGGCCTAGACCACCACCCCACCATAGTCACTACCCGCTTACGTAGCCTCCTCCAAATGACCACCCTCCACCTTAACCCCACTAGATTAAGGGCCAGCACCGGACTAAGGGGCAGCACCAGGCTAAGGGGCAGCACCGGACTAAGGGACAGCACCGGACTAAGGGGCAGCACCGGACTAAGGGGCAGCACCGGACTAAAGAGCAGCACCGGACTGAATGGCAAATCCTGGCTGGCTGAAGGCTCTGGCTGATCCTGTCTGGCGGAAGGCTCTGGCTGATCCTGTCTGGCGGAAGGCTCTAGCGGCTCCTGTCTGGCGGAAGGCTTTAGCGGCTCCGGTCTGGCGGACGGCTCTGAAGGCTCATGGCCGACGGGCGGCTTATGCAGCGCTTGGCAGACGGACAGTTCAGACGGCGTTGGGCAGACAGGCAGTTCAGGCCCCGTTGGGCAGACGGCAGACTCTGGCCGTCTGAGGCGCACTATAGGCCTGGTGCGTGGTGCCGGAACTGGTGGTCCCGTGCTGAGGACACGCATCTCAGGGCTAGTGCGGGGAGAAGGAACAGGCCGGACCGGGCTGGCGACGCGCACCGTCAGTTTGGTGCGAGTGGCAGGAACAGGCCGGGTCGGGCTGGCGACGCGCACCGTAGACTTGGTGCGGGTGGCAGGAACAGGCCGGACCGGGCTGGCGACGCGCACCGTCAGTTTGGTGCGAGTGGCAGGAACAGGCCGGGTCGGGCTGGCGACGCGCACCGTAGACTTGGTGCGG